AGTGTATCCTCCCCGCTTTTTGTCGTTTTTATCATGTTCTTGTAAATAGAATGTCGTCCACTTGACAGAGTATTTCTAGAAGGTTTGACACATTGCGATTAACCTGATTTTTGTTTTCTCCGAGCTGTTATGGCTTTATACTGATCCCACGTCGATTCACATCGTAGATTCCTGTTGAATTCCCCGGGTAAACCTGAAAAACGAGCCCCTTGTTTAGCATTTGATAATCCTTTGAACCACGAGGTAAAAAAAGGTACTTAGACCTACCAGTTGCTTTTTTGAAAGCGCTCTTTTCGGATGGTAACAGTCGAAAAGCTAACCACCGATATACCTGTCGCCAGAGACCTAGTATGTGGTGTTTCAAAACGCACAACCAACAACCCTTGGATCTCAGAACAAGCACTGCAACCTTTTTCGTAGAGTTGTATCCTGTCGCACTCCTAACATCGTGTAAGCATCAACTCCAAAGGAGTCTGTATGTAAAGCCAGGAATTTAAATGGATTGCAGTGCCGAGTACTGCGTAGGTGCTTCGACTACGGACTATCTGTTTCGCAAACGGTTATACCCATCGATCAATTAGATGACGAAATCGGTATTGCTTCGTTAGTATTAAATTTCCAACATTGAGAAAACATGGTAATCGGGATATTTAGCTGGGTTCCCAGTGAGTCTCCGGTCAAAACCAAATTCGTATGCAGACGAGTGTATTTTGATCCAGTCTTGATCATTTTTGGACCGCGGGACTTAGATGACACATTTTCATCACACAAGTCACACATCAAAGAGTATGCTAAGTCTACTGTGCTTGATAGAAGGAAGCCTATATGGCCTAATAATTGAAAGCTTTCTGAAGATCACAACCTCAGGATAGGAACAATTGGCCAGATAAATCCACTTTTACAGACCTACAAATAAAGGGTGCAATAAAATTAGCAATTTCTGGCTTGGTTACTCGGAACTAGCCACTGCTGCTCCGCAATAAGGCATTTGGAGTAAATTATGTGCTCAAAGATCCTCATCTTATTCAGGTTGGGGTGCCTTGACCGCAGACTCTCCATGAGTTAAACCAATCAGTTGGGGCCTGGTGGCACTAGCCTGGTTACCCGATTCACTGCAATAGCGGTTAAACAAAACTCTGCCACTATGACCGCTGGGATTTCATTAGTGCCTCTTACCTTCTCTTTCACTCCGTCTGGTGATTACTCTTTTGTACGACAGGTGTAAGACACCTGTTACTACTCCCTGCGTGCGAATGATACACCAACTTATAGTTCCTAAACATTAGGAGTCGTCTTTACTTTCCCTTTTCGAGAAGTTTGCTGGGTCGCTGTTCAGTTCCCGGTCTATCCATATCGTCAATTTCTTCTATCTCACCTCTGCTCCAACGTAGATGCCTCAAACTTATCTAGAAATCGTACACCTTTTTCACTGGGGTCGCATCACGCGACGAATTATGCAGATATACCTCGTAAACTTGGCTTGAAATGTCATCTCTGATCACATCTTATACCTTTACAACTCACCCCTCAAAGTACTTCGAAAGCACTTGTCATCAGTGCAGTCCGAGGTACAGATCGACGTCAGTTTAGAATACACGGATACCATCACATCACTGTGCTTCATAACTAACTCAGTTTTGGGCTTCTTGGACCCAGATGATCGAATTCCGTATATGTACAAAGTACTTGGATCATCATCAATCATCAACACCATTGTTGGCACTGACAATTCACTGCCATACAACGTACTTGGAATAAAGAAGCGTCTAAAAATCCGGATTTTATTTTGGTGATAGACTCTAGTAGAATACTGTGCTTAATACCGTAGTCGATGAAAACCTCGCTTGATTGCATTCTGTAATGAAACACCGTGATGGGCAGTGGGAACACCCTGCGATCAAAGTTTAATGAAGATTCGGTCGGTCCGCATTGCTGTCGAACATGCCGGTTGTAAGTGGGACGCATTTTGAAATAAATTTATCGGCGGTACTTGGAAGTAGTGATGGCTACCCGACTTTATGGTGCCGAGGGCTGTTGGCAAAGGTGCCTTGATTGCTGTACTGAAGCTGATAGTCAATAATAGTCTTTCCCATTTTTTTTGTTTTGATCATCGTTGAAGCGGGCGCCCTATCTGTTCGGTTTCATCAGAACCTGTTGCATTCTAGACCGTTTCTTTATACTGGTAACTAACGTGAAATTCATAAGCGGTCGACTCAGTAGCATCGATGTTAACATACGTGGTCCCGTGGCGTACTCAGTGGCCTTCCTGTTCCTTGTCCTCACATGAATAATACAAGATACCTGCAGGACCATAGCGTCGAACAAAGCATTGTTAGCTGGAACCACTATATGACCTGTACAAGGCCCACAGCAAACACTAACACACGTCCAGAGTCACAGAATCCACATGGTCACCTCTGCTCTTCATTAGTACCCTGACTTATGGCTGGGCACCTGTACGTGTATTTTAGTTCGTTTGATGAATTTGATTGTTTTTCTCCTTCGTGTTATGATCGAGATCTTGTCCATTGTATCTAACCTTTCTGTGGTTTGTTGGATTTATCAAACTGAGTGAGCGGATGGACTGTTGTCCTGTTGACTAGAGACAGCTATGGTAGACTCAGTGAATAATGGAGCCAGCATAGCCATTTGAAAGAGAATGGACGCTGTGAACATGTAATTTCTCCAGAAGTATACCAGATAGTTTGGGGATTCTGTAGTTGCCAGTTGATATCACTCAGATGCAAAGTCCCAGGCAGGAACGTCTGTGAGTGGTGTACACTTTTGTCCAGTGGAATGGGAAATCGCAACAGGAAGACTGGGACGAATGGTTAGTGGGGCAGCGGGGGCAATAAGTTCATCCAGTTTACAGACGGATACTTTGTTAGGAACTCACAAAGTGGCCTTTGCATAGGCGAACAGGTTTTCTTACGAACTAAGCGATTCTCTGTTGATCCATGGGAGTCGCGGTCTGTTTGCCCGGCTTGAAAATGTTTCGTGGTCAAGATTGGGGGCATTGTTCATAAGCAGTTGGCTGGGTCACCTATCTTCCAACATTACGAATTGGGCGATTGTATTGGTTTACTTTGTGAGGTCGCCCAATTACCGGTTGCCACAACTCTACAAATATGGTGTCCGTTCCACGCATGATTATCTTCTTCCCATCCAACAAGTTATTGGTTGAATGTTACGTCCCTACGATAGGTAAATTAGCTGTTTGTTAGTGAATGAAAACTGTCGCAATCCAATGACGAACGTGTAGAAATAGGCTGAAAAGGTGAAAAGCAATCATCCCGTGCTACAGAGCTTTTCAGAGTCATTCCTTTGTCGAAACCGGGGTTTCATGGACTTCTGATGTGATCTTTCGTTTCGATGTCATTTTAGTGGTTTTCAATCAAGCAAGAATGATCCACACTGATTGGTCTTCCTTGGCTGGTTCAGTGATCTCCGCTCTGTTTTACATCCAGAGAAACACGTGGTTATAAGTGCGTAATGTCTGCAACGCTTTTACTGCGAAATGATTGCATGCTCATGCCCGGATGGATGAGCATTACACCAACAGTGTAACACACTATGTGCAAATTTATGCATTTGGCTTACCCTAAAAGTCTTGTTCACGAGCAAAGCTAACGAACACATCCAAAGCCCAGCCCAACGCTGGAACTGAACACAAAACCGATAATAGTAACGGTGGGAATCAAACATCTAATGGTTCGTGGTGTAAACTCGCAACCGAAGGAAAACGTGGATGACAGTATATACAACACAATACAATAAAGTCTGATTATTCCGTAACTTAAATTAATATAAAACCAGACCATTTTGATTCTAGTGAGGATTCACTAATGCCTCTCGCTAGTTATTGGCCCTTTCAAGCAAAGAATACCCCCAAGATGCGTCTTACACACTTGACGACTATTTGAGATGCTATGTGATCAACAACCCGAGCTCTCAGGTTAGTTATTGGCCTTTCAAGCAAAGAATACCCCCAAGATGCGTCTTACACACTTGACGACTATTTGAGATGCTATGTGATCAACAACCCGAGCTGTCAGGTAGTGGCTTTTGCGGTGTCAGCTTTTTTTGGATTTTTATTACACGAAAGGACTGCACATGAGGTTATTGAATACTCTCTCTTTGGCCGGTTTCGCCCTTCTGGGGACGCACTCCTCGGGTTTTCGTCAACCCTCCGTTCTACTTGAACCCAAATCATAAACGGGGGCTTCAATTAGTCTAGTGTGAAAACCAAATTGATATGCAAATCAGTGTATTTGTCGAACGTCTTACAAATTTGGTTCCAGTATAAGAAAACGGTTGACGGAAGCTTGGAGACTTCGCCTACTTGACCAACCCCAAGAAGGAGGAAAGCGGCTGGGGGCTGTCGAATAGTTTTCAACAACCTTGTGAGTTATTTCCTTCACTGCGATATCTCGTATATCGTACCAAATAAATTATAGACGGTCTTCGTGCAACGCATACAGTCATAAACGAGAGATTTGGATGGTATTCAGATGAGTCTCCCATGAAAACCACATGGTATGCAAATAAGTGCACTGGACGGCTTGTTTATTAGATTTTACGAATGACTATGACTGCAGAAATTCTCTTCTAGTCATTTTGGTTCGAACGATCTCAGCCAGTAAAGTGACGTACAAGTTGGACAGATTTACCTCTTACTGGACTGTGAATTTTCACATTCGAGTCATTGTCATCATCATCATCATCATTGTCAGCTGTAATAACCGCGTACTCGTCGTACAGTTGTTGTAGATGCCGCAGTTTCGTTCACCGATGATTCTCAGAGGGGGATCTGAGGCATTGTGCACTTTTGTCGTCTATACGTCTGGCTTGGAGTCTCTGTAAACAGTCTTCGTTCCGATTACGGAAGAGATGTTGGGGGGGCTCATTTGAGCTCATTCTAGTTGGGAGAGACGTTTACGCGCCATCTACATTATTTTATCCATAATGGCCATCGTACACTTCATCTTTATTCTCCTCAGATCTTCCTTGAACGCCTCATCAATGCTGCGGAAGTCGGGTTGCTACCTTGGTCATGGCGCCGACAGTTGCTGTCCTGTCTAATCCTGGCCAGCAAACTACTCGATGACCAAGCTGTGTGGAATACGGACTATTGTCAAGTATTACGAGATATCACGGTGGATGATCTGTAAGTTCATTTCCACCCTTGGGTTCGCCGACTAATTAACCCTCACTAGTGAGTCCCTAGGTTGACAAGACTGTCAGAATATCGTAGGTAATATCCTAGACGCCTTTCTAAGTAGGGTCGGAACTATGATATGTCAGGGTTCCGGACTTGGTTAGCAAATTTCCCACAATAGTCGAATTTGCGGGTTTTGTCCTGTTTACTGTATGGTACATAGCTCCTCGTCGGCACCTCTTGTTGGCCGAAGAGACATACTATGAGGGAGATGGATGACTGTTTTTCGTTGATGTTGGTCACCACGCCACGCCACGCTCCGAGTCACTGTTTCATTAGAGTGCCATCCACCCTCGCATGCATACTAAGGCATAATGAACACTGAGGTGGAGACCGTGAGGTGGTGGACCGTGAGACATTGGTTCATTGGCTGACGGCGCAGTCGCACTTGACCATTTATGATCTCGCTGGTCTGAAATACCCTTAAGTTCCCGTAGAATAGCTCTCCTCATTCAACAACCAAGCATTGTTCATTGAAGTACGTAGTGAAGACTGTGAATAAGTCCGATCACGCCAGCACTTCGAAATAGCCCAAGTGGTTAGAGCGCGAATTTACTCACCGGAAGGTCCGTGTTTCGAATCCGACCTCTGGTTTTCGACTTCCCCTGTCTAGGCTTGGGCAGCCTGGCAATATCCCAGCCCTCGAGCTTCCTCCGGGTGGCATGGCATTTAGGCACCGAAAGGGTGCTACAGCTGAACGATACGATTCTGAACGCATTTCGAGAAAACAAAACTCGGCCGTAAAACATCATTGTTCGGCACGATGGTAACTAATACGCTGGTACTTGTACAAATGTGATCAGCCTCCGCAGTCCTCTTTATAGGACAATGAAGCATATTTGGCAATATGGCCATTTGGTCTGGACGGCCTGTCTCACTAGAGGATTACTGTTCTTTATGGATTACTGTAAAGTGAAGAAAAATTGTAATAGATTTGAAGAGGAAACTGTGACGCTGGAAGCTACCTGGTTAAAAAAGCGTAAATCATGTGATAGCTCGCATAATCGAAAAATTAATCCGAGCTATTTCTTGCGTGCTGCCTGTTCGGGCCAATCACAGGAGTCCAACCCTCATTGCCGTTGTTTATGACCTGTTCTCAGCATTGTTTCGACCAAGAACCTCTTGTCGTTTTTGACGAATGGCTCCATGCTAGCGTCCCCAGCATAACTTTGAACTCCCAGTATTATTTAATCCAAATGAATCCGCTAGTTGTGTGCGTGCACGTGTTTCATGGCGGCACCGTATGCAAAACAGTTTTCTATCCATGCATTTAATCCGACCTGTTTCGGTTCCATGTGCGGTCGATCATCCCGTCCTTGTTACCATCCAACGGGCTTGAAGTTGTTTCGAGTTTTTTGAAATTTTTAGGATCGATATGTTCATGTTTTAACTACCAATCAGTACTTAGTTCAACATATGAACTAATTATTTTGATTTGAACTTTATTTGCCTCGCAGTCGAGCACTTTGACACAATATTCAGTTTCGAACTATGCTGTTCCACTATGTGCTTCACTTTTTGTATATTTATTTATTATCTTATTAGTAATGACAAAATAATGGCAGTCCACTGACGAGACGGTCGAAAAGGATCGCTTCAGGGCAGTTGATGCTATTGAAGATCTCGTAATTCAGTGCTTATCGGCAAATAATACCATGACGTTTAGCACTAGTGCATTTCATGAAAGTAATACGAGTAGATTCAAGAAAACTGGAATCCATTTCAGAAGGACCTGGTTGACAGTCGATGAATTTATCTCCAGTCAACTCTCCCGTTTTGGCATAAGACCACAAGTTACGGGGGATACCATGTAGATAATGAACCAATCAGCCAGATCTCTTTCACCTATCAAATCAAACCAATGTCGAGTGTTCGTGAGAAGATCTTTTTGGCAAGTTTGAGTGACCAAGTCTTACTACTTGCGTGTTAGAGTGGAACTCCGTTCTATGGGGATGTCAGCAGGAATTTGGAACGACCCAGTAGAAGCAGTCGGTCATCATATAGAGTTAGTTGCTGCCAAAAGAATGGAGGTGTATTATCTCAAACAGTGATAAATAAAGATAAAAAACATAGTCATTCAACTGTACCACCCTTTTGGTGCTTGGCCGCCATGCCACCCGGGGGAAGCACGAGGGCTTGGGATACTGTCAGGTTGCCCAAACCCAGACAGGGGTAATCGAGAGACAGAGATCGGGTTCGAACCACGGACCTTCCGGTCAATAAATACGCACTCTTACCACTGAGTGATCTCAAACAATGATTGGTAAACGGTGGTGGGAGACAAATACTGCTAAATGACCATAGACTTAGGGAAAGAAACTTTGAAGACCACTTTAGGCGCCATGATGAACTAGAAGTTAGGCTATTATTTAAAATGAATTTCTACCTCAAATTTACGTGTGATCGTGAGCAAGAAACCTAACTGAAAGTGGTCATCGGTTGTTGTGCACACGCACTGACCCACCACTCCGCTCGTCACCGTAGCAACGCACTGGTATTAACTGAAACGCCTGCTATCAAATTTCCGAACTCGGCGAACAAACTAACAACCACCTGCGTTGCCTGAGTTATCTACGCTGTGCTCAATAACTAACTGCAAGCGGTAAGAAAGAACCAATGGTGATATACTTTACTAAGCTTGAAACAGAATAGTTTGATTGTCATCTGGCTTAGGCAACCACAGTCCTCCTGATTTCACTGTTGCTACTGAAGTTTTACCTTTCAGATGCGTCACTCTGAGCGTTATCTTGATGTATTCGATTGGTTGTTTTCCGTTGTTTAGAGGGGTCTTTGTACTCCAACTCAGCTTTACAGTGTAGGCCCAGTATCAGCCTAATACTAATAGTACAACTGACAGCTGACTTTTGTTTCTCAATTGAGAAACTCGCATCTTGTTTGCGTATCTCCTAACATTGATTTTAAGTCAATTAACCCTTAACCGGAGTCATTAACTTGAGAACTTAGACGCAATAGCTCCCCGGCATACTCACGATTTTGGTGTTTTAGCCTTGCTTCTAAATCGGCGCGTCGAACGACATCATAGCTTTTCTCTGTACGGGCAGATGCCACTGAAACTGCATCCTGTGTACACACTTCCCAAGACAGGTAGATTACTGGTCCTAGCCTGCCGGCCATTTCCACCATCTTGTGGGAACTGGTGGCATGGTCAACGTAACCGACCTATGTCCCTTTGTCGTTTGCTTACAGAAACGCACTTGAACGGCATACACTTTCCCTACTCCAATTCAATGTCGATGTCCCACCAGCCGTCTATGCGCGTTACTACTTTGATCTACTGTCTGTCGGTGAAGCCCGCGGTGTAGCTAACCAGCCGTCCGAACGGCGACGCTTGACTCCTGAGTTGGCCAGGCACTTACGAATCCTACCAACTCAACCCGAATCGACCACCGTGGACACGCGTTTGTTGTTTGATCTACCACGTACCAATGAGCCTCTTCACTCGTCGGGCACGGCAGCAGCCAAGTTGGAGTCAAACACTCTGAAAAAGGCCTCGCTGACTATCGATCGACAACAACAGGTGCCAGTGAGTAGTTTGGATGTCAAACCGTTGGAATTTCGACCCCAGCCTTCAGACCCCTATGTTTCCATTCCGGTCGCACCCCATTTGTCCTCCTCCACATCTAGTCAGCTTCATTCCCCCCCTGACTGGACTCCCGGACTGTCTACCGACCCGCTAACCGATAATGAACCACTCGCACTTGATGACGAAACCGAATTTATCAACGGTCTTACTCTTTCCTCACTTTTGACGTCTGTGCCTCGTTTCCCCGCGTCACCGAACGATGGCGTATGTGATACCGCTCCTTCAAGTCACTCCACCTTCAGTCCCCAATCTATTCCCCATGTACAGCTGAATCCGACCACACATCCTCGAAACACAAACACTGTGCCCGGCCAGAGGTTCGCCACTCATTGTGGCGCGCCAACGGATACTTCCACTACGACAATATACAACCCGGTTGGTAATAACGGGACTGGATTCATCCGCTCAATCATGGGTGGTGAGGTTGCCTACTCGCTTCTCAGAGATGCTGGGATGTACTAGGCGACTGGGACTGAGTATTAACTCGTTTCCTTCGGTCACTGCATTTGTGATGCCAGTTGTATTGTTACTTCTTGTCCTCCAGTTTGAACAAGTTTTTCACCTATATATATCCTAGTGATTCCTGCTTTTAATTCCCACCCCACTCACCTACTCGATCCCCACTCACTTTGATCTAGTCCCATTGATTAGTGCACACATTGTCGGTTGGCCTGCATTTACTCTACATCCGAAACTTCGTTTTATTTTTTATTTTTCACACCACCGATTAGTAGCCGCCACTCCGATTCCATCTGTCTGCTTGTGTATGTCTTCCATTTGTACAAGGCCATGTGACATTTTACTTCTTTTTTATTTTTGCTTTTGGCAAACAATCAATTAACTTTCAATCAGTTTTCTCATTACCATATGAACTAATACAACGAATGAAATTCATCTTAGCATGTGTCGTCTAGAGACTTTGTCAGGACTGCGATATATTCCATTATTTTATCTAACTGCACAGATTTTTCTCACCTGGAGGGGTGGCTTATCTTCAGGTACGAAATGTTATCGTCTCGTGAGGTGCGTAAAAGAAAGCTATCAAGAAAGGTCCCAGAAGCCTAGTGTGTCAGCTCCCTCCCACCATGATATGCATTCTAAGCACAAGACAACACCATAATACAGACATCGCGAGCTAAGTTTGATGAAAGACCGCAGTGCGATGCTAATCAGAATGTGAAGCACTTAAGAATTCCGCCTCTGTTCTTGAACCCGGTAACGACTCATGAACCGATTACGATACTGCCGTCGTCAGACTTCTTTTTGGTAGTTACCCACAGGGATGTACGAAGTACAGGCTGTCAACAAAGGCTGTAGCTTCCAGTGGCGGATATGATTATTGTTGCGTGATCTTGTAATGGTGTTGACTATGCTACCACTCTCGCTGTGGCTCCAAAACGTTTCTATACACATTGGTATCGTCCCAACCTCGCTAGTTTTCCTTCCGTTTGTGATTACACGAACTTCCCCACAAGGAAGCATCTACCGGGGTTACCAAATCGACACCGAACCTAACATATCTTCCAATAGGTTCTAGCCTTCACTTGGTCAACGAAAAGTTTTTTGGGTATTTCCTATGATAGATAGCAGGGTGTTGTAAAGTTATGTGGGCTGAAAAGGTTTCTTGACCTTCAATGTATGGAACTGAGAAATACGAGTGTATCGTCGAGATACACGTCTACGCTTGTCCCTAGAATAGTTAGGGAGGCTTAAGTAGGAATCGAATAAAGAAATCATTGATAGAGGTGTGTTCCAACGTCACTCAAAAGGGTCAAATACTTGGAGTTCTGTGCAGAACTGGTTAGCATATACCGTTTCATCCAACTACCCAACATCAAGCGTGTTATTGCGTGTTCCAACCGCGCTACATGTAAAGCAGTACCGCTTTGCTGGACTGCCGTTCAGACCAAGCAAACTCACACCCATGAGAGGCAGTGGCTCAAAGTGTCCCTGTAGAAGTAATGCTAGAAACACCGATTACTTTGATTTCTTTTACACTAGTGTAAAACAAGGTCTCTCGTCTCGTTATCACCGTTTTGTGTCTGTTTCTTCTCCGTGTTTTTGACCTGAACGTTACCCATTATATGACCTTCACCACGCCGTTAACCTTGACATGGTGCGCGTGACTCAGTATAACTGCACACGGGCTTCAGCATTTCGCACATCTTTCATCTTGAATTCGTTTAGACTGTGGGTAGACTGAAATCTATTTTATTTAATTATCTAGGGTCTATTTTACCATCGGAGCTAGCGTAACCCTACGGTTTGACTTTGTTGTCATTTTTTCATTGAACCTTTGTGTAAGTATTTCTTGGTAAACCTCCATTTGAACTGTTAACTTTTGGGGTTGTTCGCGTAACTCAAGGCGACCCATCTGATTACTGGATGCCATAAATAAACGGTAAAGAGCGTCATCACGGTGAATTCTTTTCCCCTCCGAAAGGAGGGAGAATCAGGATATCGTGCTTGTATGGTTATGGGGAGTTCGTTACTTAGGGCGCAGGTTGGATTAGGAAAGGTCTACATCTCAAAATTGTCTCCTTGCGCAGTGTGCGTTCCTTTAGTCTAATTTTTCATTAAGAGAGTGATGCGAAAGGAATGTGGGTCGTCTGTGAAGTGGGAAAAGGCCAGCGCCAATGAATAATTAATACTGTAAGTCAATGATTTCAGGAAGTCAAAATTTGGTCACTCAATGCATCCGCATGGCCTTTCTCTCGTAAATAATTGCCTGCTGCTCAGTATGAGGAGATTCAAACTTTTTGGGTCAGTTGTTTCGATCGCTGTTCTTTGGATATGACAGCTAAGTCACGAGACAGTCGTGTACGCATGCTGTGTAGGAGCTGCGGGATATTTGCGAAAAAACGGACAGGTCTGTCATTCTCGTAATTCTGTGGTTCGTTCCGACCATACCAACTTAGGGACGGTTTTGCGGTCCGACTCTAGTTATTTGGGTGTGCTAACCCTCTTACCTGCTTGGCTATATTCTCCTCAAGCAGTCTGCATTCACGCATCATGATCACGCAGACTGAAAACTATATTGCTCATGAAATTATTCAGCTATGAACTCGATGACGAACAACTGTTGTTTTCATCCGACCCCTCTAAAAACCCGAAATTCCTCCATCAGCCTGAATAGGGACGCCATTGACAGACGCTTTGACCAACGCGTTGGTTAAGCATATTGATGCGCTGCCACTGGTTTCTGACGGTTCTTTCTTTCACAGACAGCCCATCTGTCCCTCCTTTCAATTTTCGATGAAATGAATCCTTTCATTGCGTAAATAGCGCTCTTTATTCGACCCAGACGGTTTGGTTTAGGTGGGAAGCTTGATGACCCAAAAAGCATTGCGATAGAACAAGACTGCGACTTTTTCCACAACTTCTTCGGACAGACTGCTTATTTGGTACTGGATGTTCTGAAACGATTAATTATCGACCGTTTCCAGTTATTTTCAAAAGGATTCGAACTTCTTGTTTACCATCAGTGAAACACATTCATCTACAACTCGAGTTGGTTTAACGCATTTGTGATATTTTTCAGCTGAATGTGTTGCACAAGGGCCGGCTCACGTTTCAGTTGGTACGTTATTGATTTTGCCGTGAAAACCGACGACTGTGCAAATGAATGTGTCCGTCTTTTGCGCACAATTTAGTGCTCATGTAGAACATAAGGTTTGACAAAATTCGGAGACTGCGCCCAGCCCATAACCCCTCAAGAAGAACGAAACCGACATCTGGTTGTCGGTGAGCTTCCAGCAGCCTTATGAGTAGTGTCTTTGTGGCTGGCAGTTTTGCTGATCAGACCAGATTTGCGGTCTCTATGAGGAGACCGCTCAAACGGCAGCTATTAGGCGGGACGTGGCTGAGGGCCAGTGATTGCTCACACACGTCCTCTAAATGGCTGCCTGAAGTTCAGCAGTAACTGATAAACGATGATCTCACCAACTATCAGTGGAAAACGAATCGGATACCCACGTTGCGGTGCAAGATGGAACCAGAGAGTAATGTTACTGCACCGAGGCTCAGGTGAGATCACGATGCTGGTTGCCGCGCTCGCTGTTGCATGTGAACCGCTATGAATTCTCTATTGAGCTGTTTTATTACATAAATGTGGGTTACCGGGGAAGTGAACACAGAACCTCTGTAGGCAACGATAAAAACAACAGAAGACCACGCAGGTAGTAACCCAAACCTCAGGGTGATGGGTTGTACTCGGCTTTTGTAGCAGTTTGAAGCTATATGATTTAGGGAGAACAGAATGTAAAGAGCTGAAAAGTTGGGATATTCTTGAAAGAAGATTACAAAGAGAGGTAACTTCTGCAACTTAGTCTGGGTAATACTGATGCCCGATTGGAGCATCTAAGAATAGAGACGGAAGAAAGCCGTGATGAACATTATTCATGGTGGTGAGGGTAGAATAGAACAGGGAACGCTAGATTCTATAAGTGAGAAAGTGTATTCAAGTCATCATCCAACAAAGAGTCATCCATTGGGCGTACAGTCTTATTTTGGATGAATTTGACAATCAGATTCGATGAAGAAAGATACCTATTTCAAACCTGACAGTAGCACTCGGAGGTAGAATGAATGTAACTTAACATAAAGAAGGGAGTTTGGGCAGAGGTGAAATATTTGAGTGGCCGAAAAATAAAACCAGCCTTCCATAATGAGAACCAGGATAAATTGTCAGCAAAAGGTGGGCGAGAAAGAATGAAGGAGGACTACAATTAGGATCAGACCGTTTGTAATTGTTGAATTATGTTAGGAGATGAAAAACACTCTTCTCGGTTATAATCGGCGAAGTTAACGGAGTCGGGGAGGTTGAGTGTACTGGTACATATTTAAAGAAAGGGAAAGGTTTTTGACAACTGGTGCTGATCAATTTGGGACTTCTGGATGCGTCTATTGTGGAGGGGAATCAGGGTGTAAAACGTTTTGACTGACCGCTTCGACCAAGCTCCAAAACGACCAAGTCCTGTTGATGATTCCGATAGCTAGGTTGCTTTTTTGTGCAACAAATTCATCCTTCAAGTAGATCATAAGGTCGACGGAAATTCGGGGACTGCATCTACCTGATGAGGTCCAAGAAGGGCGAAACCGGTCGTGGGCTGTCGACGAGTTTTCAGCAACCTTGCGAGTAGTTTTCTTGATGAAAATTCATCCTTCATTCTGTTAATCATAGATGAGAGTGCCACGTGTAGTAACGTAAGCTGCGCGTGATGAGACAGAGAGACGCCTCTGCCAACACACATGCAGCCTCCTTTCCTTTTTTACCACCCATAGGCACGCACAATGGGCCCATTCAGGGGACGATTGCTTCCCTGATTAGGAATGATGGGTGATGCGTAAGTATTTTTGCAAAATATTTGCCAGCTGTCAATCTAAAAAAGTTGGCGACTACTATTCCACTCAGGGGAGTGAGTGTACAATGATAGGGAGAGTTGAAAAAGTTCCCGAGACAATTTTATGAAGAATCTAATAGAGACAGTCACAGCTTAATCTAATGGATAGATGGTTAAAAATCATCAAGGGTCGGGGTCTTGTCACCCTAGTGATCAGGAATTTCGGCTGGAAAGCATACCAGTTGGTCAGAATACTCGATGATAGAAATCACTTGGATGTACGTTCCACAGTATCTGTGTTAGAAAGAACCTGACCGTTTTTTACCGTGGAAATTAAATGCTTCAAGAATGTAAACTTGCTCGGTAGGGTCGGAATGAAGTATATTCCCACAGTTGACGTTGAAAAAGAGAAAGCATAGGGCATATTGATGTTCTTCACAGACGAATCATCATCATCGACAGCATGACATCCGTGTTCAACACCGATGCTTCGCTGCCGTACAACGGTCGATTTGGCATGGAATTATTGTTGGACGTATGTATCATGGTTGTACTGTGATACTGCCAGGGTGGCCACACCTGGACAGAAGG